GTAAGTTCAAATTGCATAAACTGAAATAACCATAACTCTACTAAAAAAACAATAAATACGGATTCACTAAGCACTTACTTTCACAAAACAACAGCAACGATAAGAGAGTGAAATCAACAAACAAACTAACTAATACACACTAAACAACGAGGTATCAAAATAAACTTTCCCTTGTTTTATATTATTTACAACCGCATTTCGAAATAGTGTACACGTTTTTAATATGATAATACTACATAAAGAATGGAATTGAAAATTTTTCTAAAGGCGAATATTACGTGAATTTCGAATCCTTGCATTCTTGTATTCGATCAAAATTCCATCTGAATAACTCAAACATTTGAATGTCTCATTTGGGCATTCCCACTTTTCAGTTCAGTTGTTATGTTCTTGACATTATGAAAATTTTCACTGATTCATTCGAATCTTTCGAGATCGATGATGCATTTCAATTCTTATAAACTCAGCAAAACATCACCGTTCAAAATTCAAATACTTCAAATATTGTTTTTTTTTGGATAAAAAAACCTCAATAAAAGTCCACAAAAACACTGTCTTTCAGTGATCATTGGCAAATGCAAAAATTTCTCGAATAATTCGTTTCCATGCCACATTCAAGTTCATCTTTTACAAACATCGTTTAATGGTCGCTCCAAATCACTCAGGCAGGATGAATCAACTTGCGCGAATTCAGAAGTTGAATGAGGCTGGATCTGCTGGCGGTACGGTGTCTTCCTCATCAACTTCTTCAACTTCATCACCAGCAAAATAATTCTCAATAATATCAAATGCTTTCACATATATTTCCAGATTTGGACTCCTGCAATCATCAATTGCGCATGATTCTCACGACCATTCAATATATCAAGTCGAGCTCATTAATTTGAAATCATGCACTTAAAAATAAGCCACAAAGCAGCTCGAAAGTATTCCATTAGAACTAGTCCGAGAATGTGCAACGCATTTCGAAACTTCCCAAATTTCTGCACTATCCATAATCAACGCTTGAATGCTTATTCTGTTGCATCAAAATTTCATTATCCAGATATCCTTGTTCTTCTTAAGCTAATCCTCTGTATTAAACGATCTCTCACTAAAGCCTTGGGGATTTCAGTTTAATTTCGCTGTTTCTAAAATAAGAAAATAGCTGAAAAGATGAAAAATAAATGAAATGAAAAACGAACTGCTGCAGAAATTCGAGTTTCTCTAATCCTCTTGCTTCTTCAACGAGCGCACAATATGGGTTGATGCCTGTTTTTGCTGAAGAAGAAAAATAAGAAAGAAATAATATAGGGAAAATCACGTTTCTTAAATTATAAAGCTTTGGAGGAACAAAAACACAAATAAGAAATACAAATAACAAGCACACAAATAAGAAAATCACTTACATTTACTCCGAATATTTTCACCATGTCGCAGAATATTATCGAGAGCATTTAAAGTAACTTTGACTATTTTTGGCTCCATCACAGTCAAGAGATCACATAACGGTAATATGATGCCTTCGCGAACCAATGTCGCCACCTGAGACCCGTTTCCTCCACTTAATGCATTACTTATCGCCCAACATGCCTTCAAAAAAAAAATCAACCTTCTTCCTCACTTGTTCCTCACTGCAGTCTCAACCCCTCCCTTCCCCTTCCCCTTATCATCAAAGAAAAAAGAAAACTTAATATTGAAGATTTTTTAATTTTCATCACTTAGAAGAGGAAATTCTTCGATTTCTAAAATGAATGCATCGCATTATTCACCGACTTGACAGACAGCTTATGACATCTGCAAATCCCTTGAGATGAGAGAACAACGTTGATCGCAATTGAAAAAAAAAAAAGAACAATTAGAGCAACACTCGCCCACCTCTTTACGCGTTTTGAAA